GGCCGGGGGGGGGTCTGCTCTTCTGTTCACCGAGGGCAGTGGTCCCCCCCCCATCTCTCCGTCTCTCCCTCTCTCGGCAGGGTGGACGTGGCCCACCTCATCCTCTACCACCTGAGCATTTGCTGCAAGAAGAAGTACTTTGACTTTGAGCGGGAGATCCTCCCCTTCGCCAGCGAAAACTGGGACAGCCTCCTCCTGGGCCAGGTGAGGCACGCGGGCGGGGGGCTGTATTTCCCTTTCCTTCTTGGGCAGGGGGGTTGTGGGGCAGAGGGGCAGAGGGGAGAATCCCCCCCCCAGAGACTCCCCGTGGAGCAGGGAAACCCCCTGGGACTGGGGGCAGCAACCTCCAGTCCGTGAGGACCCAGGCCAGGTGACCCTCTTGCTTTCCCTCGGCAGCTCTCCGACACGCCCAAGGGGGAGCGGTACAGTCAGCTCCTGAACGCCCTGACGACGCACAAGGACAGGTAAGCCCACCTGGGTCCACGCGCACAGCCCCCCCCCTTGCGGGGGAAGGAGGCCTTGGCCCCATAGAACCCTAGAGTGGGGAGCAAGGCTCCCTCTAAGCTGTGGAGTCTTGTGAGCAAAGATTCTACTTTGTGAGCTACCGTCATGAAAGTTGTGAGCGAGCGATTGGGCTACGGCATAAATTAGTTTGCTCTGGAGCCCTCCTTCCTGAGCGGAGACAAAAATCTGTGAGCTGGAGGCTAAAAAACTGTGAGCTAGCTCACACTAACTCAGCTTAGAGGGAACACTGGTGGGAAGGGACCTCCAGCGTCCTCTAGTCCAGGGGCGGCCAAACCTGCTCAACCGAAGAGCCACACGGAATAAACGTCAGATGTCCGAGAGTCACAAGAAGTGAAAAAATATTGCACCCACATTTTTACTGGGAAGTAGGCAGCAGGAAGATAGGAGCTGCGGTGGCTCAAGTGGTTAAGACGCTGAACTGCAGGCTGCGGAAGGTGGGTCGTTCAGCAGTTCGAGATCCGGGTGCCGCAAGACGGTGTGAGCTCCCGTCTCTAGTCCCAGCTCCTGCCAACCTAGCAGTTCGAAAGCAAGAAATGGCAAGTAGATAAATAGGTACCACACTTCAGTGGGAAGGTAACACTGTTCCGTGCACCTTGGTGTTTAGTCATGCCGGCCACATGACCACGGAAACATCTTCGGACAGCGCTGGCTCTTCGGCTTTGAAACGGAGATGAGCACCGCAACCCTAGAGTCGGATTCGACTGGCTTTACCTTTACCTAGGCAGATTTGCTCTTTAGTAACATTATTAAATGAGACTGCCAACAATAAAAACAACAGGGGTAAAAACAGATATCGATCATGACATTTATTTGTCCAGCGATATTTATTTGTTTGCCAATATTGTCTGAGAGAGAAAGAGGTGGAAAGAAAGAGAGAAACAAAGAAAGCAAATAGATGGGAGGGAGAGAGAGAGAGAAAGAAAGCACGCCTCCCCTTCACTTCCTCATCTGCCCTGCCGGGAGCCACACTATATATGCAAAAGAGCTGCATGCGGCTCCCAAGCCACAGTTTGGCCACCCCTGATCTAGTCCAACCCCCCACACAATGCAGACATTCACAAATACCTTCCCCCCCCACACACACACACCCAGTGACCCTCGGCTCCACACCCAGAGGATGGCAAAAAAAACCTCCAGGATCTCCGGCCAAACTGCCTTGGAGAAAACTGCTTCCTCCTGACCCCAAAGTGGCCATCAGCATTTCCCTGGTGGTGTAAGGAAGGGCCATGAGAATTAAGCCCCGGGGCAACCAGTGTTCCCTCTAAGCTGAGTCAGTGTCAGCTAGCTCCCAGTCTTTTAGAAGAGGAGAAGAAGAAATTGGATTTATACCCCGCCCTTCACTCGGAGTCTCAGAGCGGCTTACAAACTCCTCTTCCTTCCCCTCCCAACAACAGGCGCCTTTGTGAGGTAGGTGGGGTTGAGAGAGCTCTGACAGAAACTGCTCTTCTTTTCAAGAACAGCTCTGACAGAACCATGGCTTGCCCAAGGTCATCCAGCAGGTGCAAGTGGAGGAGTGGGGAATCAGACCCGGTCCTCCCAGATTAGAGTCCGCGCTCTTCACCACGACACCAAACTGGCCTTCGACACACACACATTTTGTCTTAGCTCAGGAAGGATGGGGCTCCAGAGCAAACTAATTTATGCAGCGACCCAATCGCTCGCTCACAACTTGAATGCCATTAGAATTTTTGCTCTTAACACTCGACAGCTCAGCGGGAACACTGGAGGCAACCCTTCCTGCCCTCCCTTCTCGTGACCTGCCTACGTTCGCACAGTCAGGAGGGACTGCAGCTCACACACACACACACACACACACACACACCTAGCGGCCTTCCCGGACCCTCTGGAGAGGTGCTGGGCCAGACCCCGCCGGCCTCGGCCCTGACTCCACCCCCCCCATCCTCCCCCAACCTCCAGGTTCATCTCCGGGAAGGAGATCAAGAAGCGCAAAGGCCTCTTTGGGCTGCACCTGAGAGTCCCGCCTCCTGCGCCCCACATCCCAGGCGGGGACGGCGACTCCCCCCTCATCTCGGACAGCAGGTGAATAAACTCCCCTTCTCTCTCCTGCCCGAGGGGCCCACGAACGGGGCGGCGGGGGGCCCGCCCCCTCCACGCACCCCCTCGCCCCCTCCTCCTGGACCTCCGGCACCCCCTCCGTGCTGTGCAGATAAGGAGGGTCTCTTACAGCTTCCTTTCAGGGCAGGGCAGGTGTGGGAAGGGGCCGGACCGCAGGAGGGCCAGACAGCGCCGCCGCCTGCAGCCGGGGGAGCCACCCCTCAGCGTGGCCCTGCGCAGCACCATGGAGAGGGAGCGGCTGGAGAGTCCCCTCGCCCAGGTGGTGGTGCCGAACCCGGTCAGCCCTAACCAGAGCTACAGTGGCTACAGCGGCACCCCCGGCACCTACAACTTCCGCCGCACCGATGCCCGCTGCCAGGACAGGTGAGGGGCTGCCGCGGAGGCAGCAGGCTGTGTTGGGGGGGGGCGCGGCCTCACCCCGCTCCGTGTTGACGGCCCGCCTCTCTCCTCGCAGCGCACCGATCCGGATGTTCGCCTCCTTCCATCCCTCGGCCAACACCGCAGGGACCCTGAGGTGAGGCCTCTTCCTGGGGAGATGGGCCCGGGGGGGGGGCCCCCGGGGGGGAAAGCCCTGGCAGGTGCCTCTGAATTGGGGCCGGCTCCGAACGACCCCGTAGCTTCCCTTCCGCCGGCCGGCCTCTTTGGGCTCCACAAACACTGGAGAATCTGCCCTGGCAGAGAGGGGCTGGTTGGGGGGCCTCGGTTCCACCCCCTCCGCCAGACACCGGTCCTCAGGGCAGTAAATCCAAACGACAACGGAAAGGGACTAGCGTCACAGGAGTCCCAAATATACAAATTCCACTAGTAGAAAACGCCCTCAAAGGTTGCCCAAACAATGTCTCAAAATAGTTATAAAGTTGGTGGTGTCACAACAACGTAGGTTCTCTGTGATTCGCTTCTTGCACTGTGAACCTTGCGGGTCTGTTGAAATCAGGCTCCACCTAAGCCGCCGTCAGATTGAAGAAGTCGAAGGAAACGCATCTTCCAAGTATCTAGAACGGGCGTCTTTGCAAAGGCGGTCTGGAAAATGTCACGACTATGTGGACTCCTCCTCTCAAGTCACACTGAGTACATGGACCAGTCTGTTGTAGTGGTTAAATGCGTGGTCTCTAATCTGGGAGGACCGGGTTGGATTCCCCCACTCCTCCACATGCAGCTGCTGGTGTGACCTTGGGTCCCTCACAAGTTCTCTCAGAGCTGTTCTCTTAGGAGCAGTCCTCGGGAGAGCTCTGCCAGCCCCACCTACCTCACAGGGTGTCTGTTGTGGGGAGGAGGAGTTTGTAAGCCGCTGAGTGACGGGCGGGGTATAAATCCAATCTCTCTCTCTTCTTCTGATCTTCAAAGGACGAAATATTGCATCTTATGCTTTATTATTGTCATTATACAGTATGCATTAATGTTGTTGTTGTTGTGACACCACCAACTTTATATTTGTTTAATATATTGTTCTGGCAATCTTCAGTGGTGTTTTCTACTAGTGGAATTTGTCTGTTTGGTTCTCAGGGTAGGGTGGAGGAAGGGACCGGGTGGTTGGCCCTCCTCCCGGGGAGTGGCAACAGGAGGCCAAAAAAATCTCTTAAGTCTCTGGTGCAGGGAAGGCGAGGTGGGGGTGGCGGTGCGGCCCAGGGGGCAGTGCGAAAATCAGCCTGGTTGTGGGGGGAGGGGCACTGATGGAAGGGCCCTGCGCTTAGCCCAAGGGGTGGGGGCGACTTGAAACATGAGTCCCACAGCAGAGAACCAGAGGGGGGGGAGACAGAAGGGTGGCCCCCACTAGGCTAACTGCCTCCCTCTCTCCCCCCTTCCGCAGCACGAGCAGCAGACCCTCCCTCGACCCCTGCGACGCCTCCACCTCCACGGACCACGACAGCCCCGAACCCCCCACCCCCTTCTTGCCCCTCTCGGCCCCCGCCCCCAAACCCCCCGCCCA